TCCTTGAGACTTCCCTACTTTCCCCAGTTATTCCTCCTGAGAAGCACACACTCTCGGAGGGCAAACAGGTTTGCTTCGTGCTGGAGTGAATGGGGAGAGTCCCCCTGTCCTCACAGGGAAGACAAGTGGTCCCTGGAAGACCGAAAGTGGAGTCAGGTGCGCCTCTGAGCTGGCTGCTCGTGCCTTCGTCTCTAAGGTGCAGGCTCCTTTGTGCTGTGGATCAGGGGTTCTCCCTGAAGACTCAGTGATTAGCAGCATCAGCAGAACCTCGGAGTTGATGAAACAGGCATTGCACAGGCCCTGGAGGCCAGCAAGTATTAGGGCTAGGTGCTCACAGTGGACTCGTGCGGACGTGAGTGTATCAGAGCACTCCACAGGTTTTCAGAGGCTTGTTTTTCAGAATTGGGTGGTCAGGCCTTTCTGTAGAAGCCCTGCTGGGTTAGCAGAGTTATAAATTAATGACCCCGTTTGAAAAAAAAGTGGATGACCATGTCTAGCGACTTTCCATTAGGTTTCCAAAGCTGTGAATCTTAACCAGAGGAGACAGCTTATCTTTTCCTCTCCAACCTACAGTGATAAGTAGCCTTTTGACTAACAGTACAGCACACTGTGGACTACACTATCAGAGTTCCCCAGATCCCAAGTCCAGGGAAGAAATGCTGTGGGCAAGGCAAGTGTAGAATTTGGAGGTGAGCAGAAAGTCAGGATTCCAGGCTTTAGAGCATCTTCTCTGGAGTTTCAGCCCAGGGGAGCTCTTGGGCCCAGCAGTGAAACTGTATGACCCTTGCCAGTTACTCACATCGTGCCTGTTGGCTTGTTTCTTTTTTAATATGAAGAGGAAAGTGCCTATATGATAAGACTCTTTTGTAGTTTAAATGAATGATTAGTTCATGAAAGTTTTTAGAACAGGATCATAAGAAGTGCTAGCTGAACAGGAACTGTTGCCATCATGAGTATTAATAATCATCACACACTAATTACTCCTAGTGATAACTAGCATTGAGAATGACAGTAAAATAATCTGTGTGCATCTTTTGTATCATGATCAGTATGTTGTTACTGTTGTATATATAGAATTGGGACAGACCCACAGCTTACCCTTCAGCCATTTTTCAGACGCAATAAATTACACCAGAGAAGACTGCCCATCTTTCTCCTGCTGAGCAGCTGATGGATTCAAACCATGTACCTTTGGGTTGTCAGTGAAGCACCTCAGCACTAGGCCAGTATAATAAATGGCAATACACATTCCTCCCCCCAAGAAATTCAGTGTTTGACTTGGATTAAATATTATATGCTAATGTTGTATCCATATGAAAAAATTGAGCATTGAATATTATTGAAAAATTGTAAAAGATAAAGACATTTGCTCAGTGGTCTGCCCCTGACCAAAAAACAAAAAAAAAAAAGGAGTGTCAGAAGAAAAAAAATAGTTTAGGTTAGGAGTGCCTCTTCAGATCTTGCAGTCAGGGGCAAGGTGGAGGGGCATCTGTTCCCCTCCTCTGCCCTTCTCCTCTTCTGGCTAATTTCTGGTACAGTATCTAACTGAAGTTTCATTTAAATGGTAATCAGTTTCATTCTCATTTATTCTAACTCATGGTGACCTTATGTGTGTGTCAGAGAAGAAGTATGATTGACAGTGGCTGACTTTTGGAAGTGGGATTCAGGCCTTTTCCCTGAAAACACCTCCGGGGGATTTAACCATGGAGACCTCCAGCCGTTTTTAGTCGGCCACCAAGCATATTAGCTTGAGCGGGTGCTCACGGAGGAGAACAACAGGTTGCTTCAACCATTGCCATTTTAACTTTTAATTACAACAGATGCTTGCAGAGTTATTCCTGTTAAACAAAAACAGAAGCAGGAAGTATTAACATTTTCCTCATTGGCCGCCTCAGCTGAAAAAATAGATGTGAAAACCCTTGCTGGGAAATTAGGGCCCAGACACAGCACATTCTCACCCAGAAGCTCAGCTCCTGCAATACATTATCATCTTTCTTTGTCGGCTGTGCAGATACCAGGTTCCAAATGCCTTACAAAGGAGGAGCTGGATTATAGACACCACTGTTAATTTTGGTGTCTTGATTATTTTGTTTTGAATTTATGCAATAACGAAATTGTATGAAAGACATGATGTAGGAACTTGGCTTGTGGGAGCATTGTGATGTAGTGTGAGGGGATTTCCAGTCACACAGATTGTTTGGGTGTCAAATGGAGCTTTGGAGGCTTGTGTGTGGGCAATTATTACTCAGAGTATTGACTGAATGGGTGCACTTGCTGTGTAAATGTGTGTAATTGCTTAACTAAGCAAATAGCTTTAGTCACTTTTAAACAATAATTTTTCTTAAATAGTAAACATCCTTTCTGCTTCCCCCTCCACTTCTCCATACCCAGCAGTCTTTGACTGGGGGGAATTGTTAAACATTTGACTGGTAGCCAAAAGGTTGTTAGTTCAAAGCTACTCTGAGGTATCAAAAAAGAGTATCCAGCTGCCATTCAAGAGTCCCAGTCATGAGGACCCACTGGAGGACAGTTGTCCTTGACTAACATATATGGGCGCAGCACACTTCAGAAGTGACCTAACAGCAGCAGGTCTACTTTTGTTGTTGCTTGGTCATGCCCCATTCAGTTTTGGGGGCTGACTATTCCCAAAAGCTGGAAATTCAAATCTACCAGGTGCTTCTCAGGAGAAGGATGGGCTGTCTCTGCCTATGTGGTTCATAGCTTTGTAAACTCAGCGGAGGGTCACCTTCAAATTGGCTCTGACTCTGTAACAGAGAGAGAGCTCTCTTGGCCTAGTGGATAGAAAGTGATGCTACCAAGCCAAAGGTGGGTGATTTTAATCTGCAGCCCTCAGGCCTAGTTTTAATTGTTTTTCGTCAAACATCTTCTAAGTGGTATAGCACTGATCTGTGCATTTGCTGTACAGAGGTAACTCGTGGTTGCTGTGATGCTGAACAAAAATGTGATGTGTCAAATGCTGTAATGATTACCCATGGTGGACAGTGTTTCGTGGAGCTTCCCAATTAAAGCAGGAGTGGCATCCACTTCTGAAATAGATTGCCTCTGGTAACTCTATGAATGTGGAGAAATGATGAAAATTATACAAGTATGCAGTTCTTTTGTTCATATGGTTGCTATGAGTCATCTACGACTTGACAGCACTTAACAACAACAACTGTAGCATTAGGTTATGAGGTTGTTGTTGGTTTGTTGTTTTGGTTTTTTTGTTTGTTTGTTTTTTTAGTTATCTTGAAAATAGCCATGGACCCTGCTAATGGAACACAATTAATTTTGTTGTTATGTGCCATCGAGGTGCCTGCGACTCATAGTAACCCTATGTACAATAGCCCTAAACCCTGCTCTATCCAGTATCAATTTCACTGTCACTGACACACCTACTCCGATTACTCCAGTCACTGAATCAATCCACCTTTTAGAGGGTCTTCCTCTCCTGCGCTGTCCCCCCACCCTCCCAAGCATGATGTCCCTCTCCAAGGACCTGTCTCTCCTTACAACATGTCCAGAGTATGTCAGATGAAGCCCCAGAATCCTTGCCTCCAAGGAGTAGCCTGGTTTAACCCTCTCCAGGCTGAATTTGTTTGTTTCCTTGGCAGTCCATGATACATTCAATATTCTTCTCCAGCACCACAGCTCAAATGCATCAATTCTCCTTCTCTTGTCCCTAGTCATTATCCAGTTCTCTGACACATAGCAAGTGACTACAAAGATCATGGCCTGTATCAGGCACATCTTAGTCTCCAGAGTGACACCATTGCTCTTCAGTACTTTGGAGAAGTCCCTAACAGCAGACTTTCCCATCACAATGCATCTTTTAATTTCCTGGCTGCTGGTACCAAGAGTGTTGACTGTGGAGCCAAGCAAACTAAAGCTGTGAACAATCTCAATCTCTTTGCCATCCATCCTGATGCTGCCACTTGGCCCAGTGGTGAGAATCTTTGTCTTCTTGATATTGAGCCTCAATCCATATTGAAGGCTGCAGTTCTTGACCCTCTGTAGCAAGTGATTTAGGTCCTCCTTAGTTTCAGCAATCAGGGTTGTGTCATCTGCATAACACAGATTGTTGATGAATCTTCCTCCAATCCTGACGTCACACTTCTCCTCATGGAGCCTAGCCTCCCAGATAATCTGTTCTGCTTACAGATTGAAAAGGTATGGAGACAGGACGCATCCCTGGTGTACATCCTTCCCAACTTTGAACCATGCAGTGTTTCCTTGCTCTGTTTTGGTGACTGCCTCCTGGTTCAAGTATAGGCTTTGAATTAACACGATCAAGTGTTCTGGGATTCCCCTTCTCAGAGTCAGCCACAGTTTGTTATGATCAACATAGTCAAATGTCTTTGCATAATTAATGAAACACACATAGATATTCCTTTGCTACTCCCTGCTTTCAGCCAATATCAGTTAATTAAAAAATTAAATTTCAGTTAATTATACCCATAAAATTAATGGATCATTGAAAAATTATGGTACATTCATACAATAGAATACTACGCAGCACACAGGAACAATGATTTTGTAAATTACTACGTAAGTTCAGAACGACTAGATGGCGTTATGCTGAGTGAACTAACTCAGTCCCACAAGGATAAATATTGTATAAAACCATTATTGTAGAATGAATATGAGGATCCAAGATGGGGGGCAGTGGAAGCAAAGGGGTGAGGATGTGCAGGAGGGAGGGGAGATTAATCATGGGGATGTGCAATTTGATGGGGGGTGAGGAAAATTGGAAGAATCTGGTGTGAAAAACAATATATTTGAATTTTGTAAATAAACTAGGATAATAAAAATATATGTATCATGTCTTGAAGATGATATCAGTGTGGCTGGGAAGCCTGTCACTGACCTGGTCATTCTTCAGTGTTTCGGTCATTTTTGCGCTTCTGAGCCTCGTGGACTGTTCTCCAGTGAAGCAGCCATGTTGTTGTCTGTGGTGGTTTCCTCTGTGAACATGTTTCCCTTTGCCTTTGTCCTGTGAGGCTCAAAATGCACAGCAGCTCCACGAGCGGATCCAATCGTCGAGTATGGACGCCAAGTTGGAAGCCCTGAAAGACTTGGCCAGCCTCTCCCGGGACGTCACCTTCGCCCAGGAGTTCATCAATCTAGATGGCATCTCTCTCCTCACCCAGATGGTTGAAAGTGGCACTGAGTAAGTACCTTTTGTCTGAGCTTCCCAGCCTATCATATACTGACTAACATTTTAGTTTGGGGTTAAGTTCCTTAGACTTACAGCTTCCAGCATAAAAGACTTAAAAAGTTAGGATCTGGAAAAAAATAGCTTTTAGAATAATACCTAGGTATTATGTTTGTGATTTAAGTACTACTCTCTAACTAGTCTGATCATGTCAGAGGCAAAAATTAAAATTCACAGGATGCCTAAAATTTGAGATTTATAAGAAAAGAAAGCAAAATAGGTCATTAACCATACGGATCTTTCCAACACTAAAATTATAATCCTCTCATCCTCCTTCATTTCTCTCACCTATTCCCCAGAAGATTTTTTCTTCTCTAACTTAATTTAGGAATGGAATATTTAATTTATATCTCAGAATACTAAACCAGGTTAAGATATCTGTGAAATCTTTTTAATTAACATTTTCATGATTAAATAAATATGGTTAACCTTTTTCAATTAAAAGGAATAAGTATTTATCAAGTATCTATTACGTGCAGAAGTGTGAGAGGTAGGAAAAGGTAAAAATATCAGACATGTCTTCCAAAAACTTTTAGAGACCATTATGCAGTGTAATAGTGACAGCATTTTTAAAATCAGATTCATCAGTTGTTAAGATTGGTGAAAGCATAGATGGACTCTGATGGAGTTTATGTTGACAGTTTAGAGAAGGAATCCACAAGGATTTTGAGTAGTATGTTAGAAGCAGCTACCACCTGCTGATTGTTTTGCTTTACTTTGGAGACTTGTGTGTTGCCATGGTTCTGAAGGTAGGTCCCTGGTATTTCAAATCCTGGCAGGGTCATTCACGAGTCAACTCGTTTCAAGAGAGCTTCCAGATTAAGACAAACTAGGAAAGAAACCCTGACTGTCTACTTTTGGAAATTAGCCAATGAAAATCTAAGGAAGCACAACAGAATATTGTTAGTGTAGTGCTGGCAAAGGAGCCCCTGGGTTGGAAGGTATTCAAAGTAAGCTATTGCTGTAACCGATGGGTTGAGCATGCCAGCAGATTTGAAGGGGGCACAAATCTGAGTAGTATTTCTTTCTGTTGAACAGTCTCCCTGCGTTGAACTGATGCAAAGTGGCAGCTACAAAGGTGGAGTTAAAAGGCAGTGTGATTCTTCTTTAGGTCCAGGAATCTAGAGGATGGACCATTTACGCTCACAGAACTTTACAGACATGTGAGCTAGGCTTTGAAAGAGAGGCTTGGGATCTAGCATGGATAGGAAGGGGTGGATACTCAGGGCTTGGCTGGGGCTATAAGGAGCAAAGTGTGTCGAGGTTTTCAGCTTATAGAGAGCTTCATTTCTGTGCAAAGTAAAGGAGTTAAGACAGAGCTGCCCGCCCCTTGTACAGCCAGTGTTATTGGTATAGATTATTGTGGTGTGTTTTTGATTGCATTTATTTGCTGCATTCAGATTGGCCCCTGATTTGTGGCACAGTGGGATCAGATCACCAGGATCCATAGAGTTTTTGTTGGCTGGTTTTTCAGAAGTCCATCACCAGCCCTTTCTTCCTAGGTCGTCTTAGTCTGGACGCTCTGTTGAAAACTGTTCAGCATCATAATCAACTAGCATCCATTGATGGTTGTAGTGAGAAGGCCGTTATTGAACCACCATAGCCCAAGAGTGTGTGAATCGGTGTATTCAACTGATGGCATTAATTTGCTGAATGTGTGAGTTATGCAGGTGTGTGTTGCTTAATGTCCACAATAAAGGCCTATAAAATGGAAAATGGTGTGATTTGGTGGTTGTGGGAACACTGTATCAGTATCTTATGGAATCCTGCTTCTGGCTGTCCTTGTGGCTGGGGTACCACTGCTGTTGCTACACTGGACCTGCTGGCAGAAGATGGAAGGATGGGTGTGTGGCCAGAGTCAATGGAGAGGGCAGCGCTGGGAGCAAAGCTGAAGAGGGTGGCGCACACACAGTCCCTCCACCGTCCCTTCCACCTGAGCAGCTGGAGCAGTCCACGGTGTCACCTCCTGACAGAGTCCAAGAGGCCTTGCCCAGAGCCACATCCTTTTCCTCATCATCTGGTAACTCTTCTGTGGCCCAGTGCTATAAGCGTCTTGATTCAGGGTCTGTAGAACCACAAGAGGAAAATAATAAACAAAAGAGAGCTATTTTCCCTTTAAAAAACAAAAGCCTTATGGGGCCACAATGTCTAGGTGGGCAGATGTTGTTGAACTGACCTTAAGTAATGCATCCCTGTATAGCCATAATCTTCAAAATGTATTTATTAGAAAAGAGTAAATGTCATTGAGAATTGGAGTTAAAACCTACTTCATTTAAATCTCCCTTCAGTACCTAAAATACAAAGAACTGATGACTATACAAGTTGGAGACCTATCCCCACCCACTCAGTTCCTTCCTTCCTTCCTACCTCCTCCTACACTTGGCATTAGTTAGCTTCTGTCTTGGCACTCATTAACGATTCTTGTTTTCTCATTGAATGAGAGAATGTTTTATAACTGCAGGGATATTTGCCATAGAAGGAATGTACTATAGACTCTGGGCTTTGGGGCCCTGCTTCACAGAGAAATAGAGAACATCTCTAGTACTGAATAAGAAACACACGCAAACACCCCAAACAGAATGAGACCCAAGAGGACTGGCATGCAGCCTCACATGCTCTGGAAATGGTCAATGTACAAAGGTGTCAACTGGTTCTTTTTAATGATTTAAACTGTGCTTGTAAAATCTTTGGAGAACATCACCTTGGAGTAGGACTGAGGGATTTAAACCCTGGGGCCTGGCAGAATCCAGAGTAGCTACTCTAAATGGGTTAGTGAACATCTGAATAAAAATAATTTTGGTGGTACAATGGGCTCAAGGATAGGGAAGAATCTGTCTGTGACAGAAGCTTTAGGTTGGAATTTATTCTGAAATTAATAAAGTCTCTCCTAATTTGTTTCTAGCCAGCAAAGGAGGAGTTCAAGTGTTGTGAAGGTAGATAACTTACCTGGGAAATGTCTGTTACTTCATGTAGTGGCCAAGCATACTTGCTATTTTTAGCCGCCATGGAATTGATCTATAATTCATGACGGTCACATGCACAATGTACCAAACATGGCCGAGTCCTACATCATTCCCATGATTACCTAAGGATTCAGAGGATTCTCTATAATTGCTTTTTGGGTATAAATCATCAGACGTCTCTTCTAGTCCATTTTAAGTTTGGAAACCTGATCAGGTTCACAGCATGCACTAACAGACAGTGGGCTCAGAACCTGAGGTTTCTGGAGAACCATCCTTGGTTTTCTACATGGGTGGCAAGAATTCTACCACTGAGCCACCACTGCCTGTCAAGCATGCAGAAATGTGCTATAAGCAGCCTTCTTCTGGAACGTCACTGCTCATACATCATGTAAAGTTGAAATGTTATCAAAGTGTATTGATTTACCAAAGTCCCAGGCATTGATAGATCAGGGGTGATACACTAGAGCTAGTTCCAATACAACCTGCCTCCAAAGGAGTATTTATGGTAGACCTGCCACCAAACTCATCCAGGGGCCTTCGGCTTTTGTTCTGGTAGTGGGGTGAGCAAGAAGACCAGAAGTTTTACATATTCACCATGGCCTTCTAGGAATGTTTTTGTTGTTGCTATTGTGTGCCATCGAGTAGCTAACCCCTCAGCAGATTTTCAGAGGTAGTTATTCCCACAGACAGAGATTGTGCACCCTTCTTCTGTGGAGCAGTTGATGGATTCAAACTGCCTGCCCTGGGGGTTGCCCCACAGCTTCTTAACAATGCCACCAGAGCTCCCACTAAATTCAAGGACCTGCGTGATGCACACTGTAGTGTTACCAGTCCTTCCAAAGGCTGACAGTTATCCGTTTTGATAACAGGGAAGAATACATGCTAAAAGCTTTGGGGTTTTTTCTAGTTTCCCATTATAAAGACATTACTACTTTGACTTTAAAAGAACAAAATTCGGAACATATATGAAATTACCTATTTAGAATAATTTTTTTCCATTAGTATTGCCGCCTTACTCTGTTACTAATCTTGGATTATTGAAAACCAGCTGGTGAGTCTACTCTGATAAGTTATTGCTGTACGTGTATCCTTACAACACTGTGCTCTTTTAGGTTTCAGATATTCCAATGGTTTAGTTTTTCAGAAGTAGATCACCAAGCCTTTTTTCCATGGTACCTCTGGGTGGACATGAACATCAAACCTTTTAGTTAATATCTGCATATGTTAAATGTTTGCAGCACCTTAGACTCCTGTCAAACTGTAGAGTCACCCCTTTTCTAGACTAGAAGGGGACTACAGATCTCCACAATGCAGGTGCACAGACACAGCGTCATGTTTGTTGGGTTTGCTTCTTACAATCAGTAAATCATCCAGCTTCTGTTTAACATAGTCAGCTTTCAAACAGAACTCAAGATCATTATTAGAATGAATTCTTATTTTGTACTTGTATCTTAGCCTCAGTGCTTGAGCTATTATTAACTGAAAGGTCAGCAGTTCAAATCTGCCAGCTGCTTCTTGGAAAAAAGGTGCATCTGTCTGCTTCCATAGTGATTAGCCATCCTAAAACGTTAAAAAAACATTTTTCTTTGTCCTCTGGTCACTCTGTCATTCTTAGTTGGAGTCAACTCAACAGCAGTGGGTTGAGTCAACTCAACAGCAGTGGGTTGAGTGTATTACTAGTATGCATGATACCTCTGCATCACCTTTAGTGTCTCCTATACTGTTTTATACAAGTTCAAAGTCATATTCATTTTCTAGATTAGAGCAGAAAGACTGAGGAAACATAGCCTCTTTCCTGCTTTCTTTGGGGATCTGAAATTTATCCCATTTGATCCACCACTATTTTTAATATGTTTTTCCACAAATAAAAAAGAAAAGGAAAAGTAATTTTCTAATAAGAAAAATTAGTTTTTCAATTAAACTTAGAGCAAGAGTTTAATTAATGAGCAGAAAACCTTTGGCATAGAAACCACACAAATTAAATAGATCCTG